CCAAGATTGATATATCCTGCACAACTCTCCCTGGAAATTGATGGAAAAACAAGGTGCTTCCAGGATAAAGAGGAACTAGGGGAATATGCAACCACCAATTCAACTCTACAGAGAATACTACAGGATATTCTAAAAAAGAAAAATACAAAGAATCCAGAAATAGTGGCAGAGAGGCCACAATGAATGGAGCAGAAAACAAAATGAAGAAGACAAACTGACAACTAATGACAGAAAAAGAGCTCAACAGAAATGAGGCAGAGAAGATTGGATGATAGGAACAGCTATTTTGGAGAAAATGACGTCTTAATAGGTAATACTGACTTAGTATCATCTTGTTTTGAAGTCTCATCAAGCTTTTTTTTTTTTTTTCTTTTTTCATTTTTTATCGGTACCAGGGATCGAACTCATGACCGCCTGCTTGCAAGGCAGGTGCTTATGCCACTGAGCTAAATCCCCAGCCCTCTATCAAGCTTTTGTTCTTCTGTCTCCATTGGTCTAAACAGGTTGTATCTTACTGGATTTTATTATGTATGATAGTATAAGCAAAAACTTTTAAAGACAAGGAGATTATACAGAAACCATTGTTCGTTTTCTGTTGGTTGGTTCTAAATACCCTGTAATGCTGTCATTCTCTTAAATGGTTTTACATTGTTTTGATATATTTGATGCTACAGTATACGAAGTTATACTCAAAGATTTTAAGGAAAGAGACAATATGGTAACTACTTTTATGTCAGGATTATCTTGTGGTGAAACACTATTCTGCTTAAATGGTTATGTTTTGATCTGCGCTGTTTTGCTGTTATGTCCTCTTTTATCTCAATCTCCATTATTTACTTTTTTATTTTTATCCTTTTAATTAAGGGAAAAATAAATAAAAAATAGCAGGATATATTATAGTAACCCACTTTGACTTTCCATTATCTTGATTTGAAGCCCTGTATTCCTCTCACCATCTTGTTTTTGACTGATGTCCCCCTATTCTGTTTTGCTTGATAGTACCAGGTTCGAAAGTTTAGGCAACAGCTGTGAAGATAGTGAGATTCATTATGACGCCCATTCTCGATGACTTTTATCTACTTTTGAAGACCTATAATGTCTCCAATGTTTTGGTTTTGTCGGTTTTGTTCTTTACTGTTTTGTTCAATTTTATTATAACTGATGATATAGGCAATTCTATTAGAGATAGCGGGAGGCATTATGGTAACCATTGTTGATCACCTAGTATTATGCTTTTACATTATCTATTATGTCCACCCTTTTGATTTGATTGACTCTGTTCTGTTATGTCACATTTGGTTCTACTCCCTTCTAAAAAAGTAATAAGAGCTGTGGGAGCAACAAAACCCAAAATGGGTAATTGTTATTGTACAAAAGAGAGGAAAAGAAAGTGCTCTAAACGATATAACGGCATGTATATATAAGTGTATAAGACAGATAATGATATCACTGAGTTTTATTGGATCATTGAACAGAACTGTTTGCAGTCTCACTGTTGGAATGTCCACTTTACAAGCTTTAATTTTGTGACTTGAACAGTTATTTCTAAGATGACAATATGTAATCCATTAACTAGTGATTTCCTACTGTTTATTTTTTTCTGTAAATCTGTATAACTTGTACCCTTTCTCTGCTTTTTTTTCTCCTTAAATAAAATTTAGAAAACAAAACAAAACAAAACCAGATAATAAAAAATGAACAATGACTACTATAATATCTCATTTTCCCCAAAAAGTTGTTCATACCATCACACATAATAAAATCAAATAAAACACAACAAGAAAGAACTAATCAAAAATAGAAGAACAAAAGCATGATAGGACTTAAAAACTAGACAATAGGAAATCTGCACTGGCTACTATAATGTCTTATTTTCTTCAGAATAGCTGTTCATACCATTATGCATAAAATCAAACCAAACAGAATAAAACTAAACAAATGAAAGCATTATAAGACTTAGAGCAATACAATAGGAAACCAAAATTACCATAATATATCTCATTATATACAATATAGCTGCCCCTATCATCAGACAGAGTAAATCTAACAAAACAAGACAGAACAAAGCCAAACCTACAAATTGTGAAAACAATATAAGAGTTCGAGATAAGACAAGAAATTAACACCTCTGTTGCCACCTTTCCCTTCCAGGTATTTCCTCCCCTGTCACTCTGCTCTTACAGTAGTAACTATTTTGCTTTTGGATCCCATTGACTCCTTCTGTTTCTTATGCTAGGGTTCACATGTATGAGTTTGAACTGTTTCACTCATGAACATGATCTCTAGTTGGGTCCATTTACCTACAGGAGCCTTAAGATTATTCTACTTTTTTTTTTTTTTTTTTTGTCTTTTTGAGACAGGGTCTCACTGTGCAGTTCAAGCTGGCTTTGGGCTCACTTTGTAGCCTAGCCTGGTCTGGACTCTCAACATCCTCCTGCCTCAGCCTCGCAAGTGCTGGGTTTACAGCGTGAGCCACCATGCCCGGCTTGATTCGACTTTATTGCGGTGTAGCTTTCCCTGAAAGCTTTGCATGAAAATACCGTATCTTTTTTATCCATTCTATGCTTGATGGGCAAGTTACTCTTGTTTTTTTTTTTCTGGTGTCCTGTCACATGGAACAATTGTTTTCTCTCCTTTGATTTTCATGCTATCAAATTCGTTTCCAGTTAGATGTGTTTCTTATATACATTATATTGATGGATCTTGTTTCTTGATCCATTCTCGCTGTGTTTCTTTTTATTGCTGACCTGAGGCCGTCTACATTAATGGTTACAATCAGCATACATTGGTTTGTCTCTGCCCTGCTATCCTCCTGTTGTTGACCCTCCACTTTTCCCCTTCATTCAGTTGCCTGTGTGGTTTGTCGATCCTCTTCTGCTGCTGTTCCTGGAACCGTAATCAGCTTTATCTCTCTGTAGAGTTGGTTTGATAGTCATGAATTCCTTCAGTTGTTCTTTATCATGGAAGTATCTTATTTTTCCATGAATTTTGAAAGACAGTTTTGCAGGGCAGATCAATCTGGGTTGGAAATTGTTTTCTTTCAGGGTTTGAAACACCTTACTCCGAGCTCTTTTTGACTTGATTTTTTGTGTTGATAAGTCTGTTGTAATTCTGATTAGTTTCCTTTATAGGTGATCTGTCTCTTTTCTCTAACAGCTTTTAATCTTCTGTTCTTCTGCTGAATTTCTGGAATCTTGATTTTTATATGTCTGGGTGTAAATTTACTTTGGTTATGGCTAGTTGGAGTCCTATAGGCCTCACTTAGTTCTGTTGTGTTCTAACTTCTAGTATTGCATTTGAGAAGTCTTTTGTTTTGATTCCTGATCCTCACCTGTTTTATTCATGACCAATTTTAGAGTTTTGCAAGGTTGGAAAAGTGAGAATGAAGTTTAAAAAGAATGAAGAGAGATACAAGAATAGATAAATGGTACTCTTTAATGCATAACTTTAATGTCTTTAGAAATATTTTCAAGATTTCAAACACTTCAGTTTCATTGTGGATTTTTAAAAAAAATATAGAGTATGATTAGTGTACTTACAGAATTTCTGTTTAGCCTATTGCAAATTTATCAATAGGAAAGGAAAGAATACACTAATTTTTGATATTCTTCCAAGCATAAGGCTTATCCCTCTAGCTCTGCCTTTAGAGTTATGTTTAGCCAGGGAAACTGCCAAATATTTATACCTGATATAGGGCCTTGACCATGGAGAAGTCCTGCTCTCCATTATTCACTGATAAATAGCACATTAGGCCTGGAATATTTAATAAGACTTTACCAAGGTCAAGGAACAAGCAAAAGAAGTGTAGAGGCTAGCGTGAAGTGTGGTAATTTTTCATATGACACTGAATTTTAGTTTTCTTTTTTTTTTTCCACTCGGGTTTGAACTCAGGGCCTTCACACGGATCTGCATGCCTTAGCCCTTGCTTATTTTTTATTTGAGACAGAGATTTGCTAATTTGCCCACGTTGGGCTTGTTTTAGTGCTCTTCTGGTTTGCTTTCCTTGTGATTCTCGGCTTGCCTAAAATTGACAAAAGCAATCTTTTCTGTACCACCCTGGAAAACAGCTAAGCACACAGAGAATGTAAATTATTTCAAACTCGAAAGAGAGGACATTGTGATTGACTTCAGGCATGCTTCCTCCATGGTGTGTTCTGTGTCTTCCACAAGAAGTCTTGTCTGACTGTCACAGTACCATCCACAAGACGGTCAGATCTTCCAAACTGCAATAGCCTTATATCCTTTCTAGAGATAAACATGTGGCAGTGGGTTGGAAATTTATCATAGGCTTTAATGTAATGTATCTGTACATTGTATTTATACATATTTTATAGTTTTATATAATAAGGATTGCAGTGTTATATAATTTTTGAAAAATGGGCTAGACTAGTAAACCTGGATTCTAGGCTGGTCTACCTGCAAACTATCTTATCTCTTTTAGCAAGTGAATCTGTCATAGTTGTCTGGAGAGTTTTGAATATAAACAGTCTGTTATTTTGACTACAACTGAATTATTTTAAATAATTATAAAATTTGTACCCAAATCTTTCTCTTTGTGATATATTGGTCTTTGTGATATGTTCATCTATTTAATCTGGTGGTGAGGTATTAAAGGCCCAATTATTGCCCTTTGAAAAAAATATAACCCATTTTTTAATGGCTTACTTTATATAAGAGGTTCTTCATTATGGTGATAGGTGGGAACTGCTAATATTTAAGGGAGGCCATAAGAGTTTGTTATGAATAAATATTCTTTATCACATAACAACCTAGATGTTCTTAAGCAGAATGTAATTTCATGTAATTAAATCTACATTTAGATTCTATGCTTTACAGTTCTATTTCTTTGATAAAATTTTAAATTGAAGTAAAAAAAAGCAATCAAAAGCATCATACATTAAAGGAGCCAAACATGTTTACTGGAACATGTATATGTAAAGTTCTTTGGTGCTTAGTTAAATAGACCTGGGTTTTCTCATGATCGTTCTTTATTTTTCCAGAGTGAAAAACTTTTATTGTATGATACAGTCCAGAGTGAGCTAGAGGAAAAGATAAGAAGGCTTGAGGAGGACAGGCATAGCATTGACATTAGCTCAGGTAAGGGGCATACGGTGATGGTGATGTTTGTGATGCTGGCCCTTCTACCACAGTGTCTCATATTGTCTTCATCTTCTGAAATTACTGTGTAAATGAAATGTCCCGATAGAAAAGAGGGGACTTCCAAAGAACTACAATTGTGATTGTGATTGTTACTTTGATATGAATGTACACTTTAGAGAGATGTAAAAAATTCTACTTCATGGAACACATGAAGTGCTGACCCCACAGAGCATAGAAGTGTGACAGGAAAACTACTATGAGGCTAGTACTGGAAAAATAGCAACAGTATATGTTCTCCTCTGGAAATCTTAAGAGACTGTCATGTGGGGAAAGGACTGCAAACCTTTTTGACAGAATCAAACCATAGTAAGTGGAGAGGTGTAGCTTTTTTGTCTTAGAAAAAAGAAACACTTATTAGTAATTAGATTAATCCAATGTGAAATAGGCTACTTTGGAGGTATTGATAGAAGGGTTTTCTATGAATATTCGTGAAATTCACTGGGAAACAGGAGAGACCAAAAAATAACAAAGGCAATCCTGGGCAACAAAGGCAAGGCAGAAGGCATCATAATCCCTCACTTGAAATAATACTACAAAGCTACTGTGGTAAAATGGGCAAAAAAACAGATCTGAAGACAAGGGTAACAGATTAGAAGATGCAGACACAACTGCAAACACACTCAGCCACCATGTCTTTGACAAAGGAGCCAAACATGTTTACTGGAAGAAAGACAGCCTCTTTAATACATCGTGCTAGAAAAATTGGTTTGCCACACGCTGAAGATTAAAACTAGACATGTCTATCACCATGCACTAAACTAAAGTCAGAATTAATCAAAGATCTAAATATTGAAACAGTATTAGCACTAAATCTAGCACTAAAATATTAGCACTAAATCTAATTGAATACAAAGTAGGTAGAAATCTTGAAGGCATAGGGTAGGCAGAGACTCATGAACAAAACCCAAACTGCATGGAAAATACTACAAAGAATCGACAAATAGGATCTTATCTTATTAAAGTCTTTGTACTTTAAAAGAAATCACCAACAGTGAAATTTTCCCACAGAACAGGAAAAAAATGTAGCCAACTGTCCCTCAGACACAAAGGACTTCTATCTAGAACATATAGAGAATTGAAAAAGATTAGACCTCCCTAACTTCAAAGACCTAATCCAAAAATGGGCATCTGAGATGAACACACACTTCTCAGATGAAGATATACAAATGGCAAGCAAATATATGAAAAAAGGTTGAACATCATTTGTCTTTTGACAAATGCAAATTAAAACAACACTGAGATTCCATCTCACATCAGAAAGAATGACTGTCATCAAGAAATCAACCAATAACAAATGCTGGCAGTGTTGTGGTGAAAAAGAAATCCTTCTCCACTGTTGGTGGGAATGTAGACTGGTGCACCCACTATGGAAATCAATGTGAAAATTCCCCAAAAAACTAGGATTAGAGATTCCATTCAACCCAGCTATTCCCATTCTGGGTGTCTTCTCCTTAGAATTAAAACATCATACTACAGTGATCTATGTGCACCCATGTTTATAGAAGTGTTACTTATAATAGCTACATCTTGGAAACAACCTAAATGCCCATCAACTGAGAAATGGATAAAAAAGATTTTTTTTATATAGTGGAGAACTGCTCAGCCATAAAGATAAACTCAAGGTTTTTATTGGTAAGTGGATGCAACTTGAGACCATACTCATAAGTAAAATAAATCAGACTTGCATGTGTAAATATCAAATTGTCTCCCTAGTGTAAGAAACTGAGAGTAAGTAAGATCCGAAATGTTTAATACATATTGTGAAACTGCTCAGAAGGAAAGAATAAATGGGGGAGAACAAGAAGCCAGCCACAGCCAGCACGCAGGCTAGGAGACAAGAAAAGCCAAGATGTCATATGTCTCCCCCTGCCCAGTCTCCATAAGCAACCAGGAAAAACACAGATGATGATAGCTATTGAGATAAAATACAATTTAATGCTTGTAGTGTTTAGTGTTTCATTGACTTTGTAGACCTAAGGCTGGTAATCTGATCATGTATTTAGAGGATAACACTATGCAATATAGCATCTGTATGGAATTTCCTTCTGAAGGTGGTAGCCATTGTTAAATCTCTATTATCTTGTTTTAAAGTCCTGTATCATTTTCATTGTTTTGTTTGGTTTGTTTTTATTCTGCTTTGTCTTGTTTGATTTTATTATATCTGATGGCATGGGCAGCTGTTTCAAAGATAAGAAGATCTATTATGGTAGCCATTTTGGATTTTGGATTATCTTGTTATGTGTCCTATGTTGTGTTCATTGTTTTGTTTTTATTGGTTCTGTTCTATTTTGTTTTGTTTGATTTTACTGTATCTGATGGATGGGCAGCTATTTTGAGGACAACAAGGGCATTATGATAGCCACTGGTCATTTCCTATCTTGTTTTAAAATCCTATATCATTTACACTGTTTTGTTTTGATTGGTTATATTCTTTTATTTTGCTTAGTTTTATTTTTAAAATAAATTATAAAATAATAAGTTGGGTGGCAGAAAGGGAAAAAGAAGGAAGAGAAGAGAATACACAGATATGTTCATATATATATATATATGAACATGTATAATTATCTTAGCTATCATATATATATATATTTCTGTTCATTGAAAAGTACAGTTTGTGCTTATATTGTTTGATCAAATTTTATGCTTATTTCTTGTAATATGAGCAACTACTTAGAAGATAACAATACGCAGTATATAAACTTATTCTATTATCTTTTGAAATTCTCTATTATTTTATTGTTTTTTCTCTTTAAAATAAAATTATTAAAAAAGATTTTCTACTTTGGGTGAAAGATTACTAGGTTATCTTAAAGCTCTTGAGTGTGTATTATTTCACCTGCTAAAAACTTATTTCACTTATTTTACAGTAGGCACAGTGGATCACATAGTCTGAGATCTAATTCCAGGGTTCCTTCACCAAGTATTTGAGTGATCTGGGACAGATACTTAGGTTTTTCTAAATCAGTCTTCTTGTCTATAAAAGGAAAGTAGTAAGAATATCTACCTCAGAGATAGCTTGAGGATTAGGTTGGATTATATGATACATAATTTGTAAAGCACCTGACATACAATGATAATTTTTAACTATAAGTGTCAAATTAATTTTTGCTTTAATAAAGATAGAGGAAACTTCATGTATATATAGCTGCTCATGAAATTATATATATTATTTCCCCACAAAAGTATTAATATAGTTTTATAAATAAATAAATAAATACCATCACAACATTACATAATACTTTTTCCTCCTGTGGTTACCAGAAATCAGCTAATACTCCCATTTTTATTTGCTTGCCAGAGCTGTGGAATGACGAACTTCAATCTAGAAAAAAGAAGAAAGATCCTTTTAGTCCTGACAAAAAAAAGCCAGTTGTTGTTTCAGATATCCTTTTCCAAATTCTCTGGGTTTTTCCCCTTGGTATATGTTTCTACACTGTGCATACCTTTGTAACTTTCTCTTGTATATATTAACTTTATTTATGTGGTCCTGTAATAAGCAAAGAAATGCTTTCTAAAACTGACAAAAGGCAGAAGATATAATTTAGATTAAGATGGGAGCAGGAAGGGGAAAACTTTAGCCACCATCATGACTTTGAAAATTCATGTGGTTTCATAGTCATGAAAGCTTTGATGTGGAGCAAATGTTTTAGTATACACCATGATTCGTTTCACAGGTACTTTTTAAAGAACATTTTTCCTGTGTTCAAAATTGGAATATCCTTGAATAATAACTGATATGTACAGTTTTAGTGGTCCTGTGTCACCATCCTCCTGCCCTTGGTTCTTTCCCCATCTACCTTGAAAACAGTGCTTAAGTTGATGATATATTTTAGAATTGATGATATCATGGGATTAAGGGAATATACTTAGGCCATCTGAAATATGAAAATATATCAGAAATTAATAAATAGTATCTTGATTCTAAGGAGGTTTTTTTTGTTTGTCTGGTTTTTGTTTTTTTGAGACAGGGTCTTGCTATGTAGTCTAGGTTGGTCTTGAACTCACTGTGTTGCCCAAGCTGTCCTCAAACTTGTGGTAGTCCTCCTGCCTCAGCCTCCCACATGCTGGGATTACAGGCATGCGGCATCACATCTGGCCTATAATTAGAAATCAAAATTCAGGATCCCAAAGAATTATGTCCAAATATCATTGTTATATGTTCTGAAAAATAGAAGTTTGGAAATAGAATTCAAAGTGTGATACTGTATTTTCCTGTCCCTTTCCCTTTCTTCTGTCCTTTGTTTTATTTTATTTTATTTTTTTCTTCTCTTCCCTCCCTCCTTTCTGCTAGGGCTACAGCCCTGGTTTCACCTATGCTGGGCAAGAACTCTACTCCTGAGCTACTCTCCTAGCCCAATAGTGATTTTTTTTTTCCAGCTGAATTAACCTTGACTTTTCAACGTCCATATATTGTTTATATGCTACAAGATCTTGATATTCTTGAAGACTGGACAACAATTAGGAAGGTATGATTAAAGAATGGTGAAACACAAGTATATTTTGATTGTCTACTTTTTAAGATTTTATGTTTTTCACTAATATATCTAAATACTATAAATATATTTTGCTTTGAAACGTGTTCTTTAAGGCAGTTAATACTATTATAAGTAACAGTGGATTTTAAGAGTATTTTAGAGACATGCCAGAAGTTTGTATTTTTTCTTTAACAATATAATCATTTATGCAGGATTATAAAAAGGATTTATTTAGTTTACCCAAAAATAATGATATCAGCATTCTGTGCCTAGAGCTCAGCCTGGCCCTATCATGGAAGGTGCTCAGTCGTTATTTGCTGACTGAATAAAAGTAAACACTTGAACCCTTACTATGTGTCCTAATATTAAACAGTCAAGAATTATAGAATTTCAGTGTTTGTTTAAAAATAGAGCCTTACTTTCCTTTAAGTTTGTTAATTTTGGAGACTTCTTAAGAGTTAGCAATTATTTCAGATATTGATAATACTTCTAGGACGAATTGTTGTTTGCATGTATATTCTTTATGGCCGTAGACATTAAGAATTTATTGGAGCAGCTAATGCTTATATTTTACCATATTTGTTACTGAGCCAATCAATATTGTTATATATAAGAGTAGATACCAAAACATATTTTCACTATAAACTCAAACAACATCTTTCTGCCTTCTTGTTTTTGTCAAGGCAATGGCTACGTTGGGTCCTCACAGAGTAAAAACAGAACGTAAGTGATGAATTGAGAATTACTCTGTGGAGTAATTTGGAGATTTGTTGAATCAGGATTGTTAAATCATCTCTGTACTGAAGAGCTTCCTCATCAGTTGTTTCATTTCATCAGTCAACACTGTACCTGAAATGATGAAGAATTCTTCTGGAGTTTTTAACATCATATGAAAGTTTCAGAATTTCTGAATGCAATATATTTCTATATTGCTTTAGCTAATGGATCAGTAATTCAAAAAGTACTGTTTTTTTGTTTTTGTTTGGGTCCAGAAATGTTTTTAGAGAAGATATTTGGAATTTCTAGACTGGCTTCAGGAAGTATGGATTCTCTGAAGTTGTTTGAAAAATATCTTACATGTTGTCTGCATTTTCTTTTATTTTTTTATTTTTATTTTTTGGAACTGGGGGTTAAACTCATGACTGTGCACTTGCAAGGCAGGTGCTTATCCCTGAGCTAAATCCCTGGCTGTGTCTGCATTTTCTTAGAAGAGAGAGATTAAAATGCTGACAGCAGAGTCCATTTTAAGATATTTTTCTGCCACAAAGGTCAACACATTTTGGTATCCCTTAGTAAATTCACATCAAGTTATAGTTCCTTGATTTTTTTTTTTTGAATATCTAAAAGCACTGCCAAAGACATGATGGCTATATGTCTTTTTTCACTAGATGTGAGATTTCCTAAGTCTTTACAAGGACCGTGAAACTATATATATATATATCTATGTATATATTTTAAAGCGTATTTTAAGTACTAAGATCTTTCTAGTCACATTCCGATAGACAGTTTGTAAGAGACTGATTTCTATTTTATTGTGACTCTATGAGTTCCTTTAAAATTTATATCATATCAAGAATTTATATCATGCCACAGCAATATTGTAGTTAAGTACCACCACTGGAGATTAACTGGAAGGGCAGCTTCCTAAATCTCTAGAGCAGTGGTTTTTAACATTTTTGGGATCGTGGATTCCTTTGAGGTCCCCCTCTCCCACCTCCTACACCAATCACCATTATCTTAGCATTGTATCTTATTAGTTTTCTTTTTAGCATTTGCTAAATTTATTGTTTGTCTCCTGACTGGATAGTAAACTCCATGAAGGCTAGTACTGTATCTCTTTTAATCATATCCTCCCCACCCCACCCCAGCACCTAGCACAATTCCTTATGTATAAGAAGTGCTCATTAAATGCATAAATGAACAAATGAATATATACTTAACATGTTCCCCATATAGAGTACTATTTGAGAATCTGTGTATACAATAGAGATTGATTTCTGGAGCTTCCTTGGGGGTAGTAGAATAATATATATGTAAATAAATTAAGATAGCTCCAGATAATAATGTTATGAAGGAAGTATATAAAGTTATTATGACAATTAATCAAGGAGTGGGTAGAGTGGCTGGGAAAGACCTGTCTGCAGGGGTGACATTTGAGTGACAAAGAGATATTTATTTATGGTATGTTTTTGACAATGTAGGGAGAATACTTTCTCACTGCATGAGTTTATATGATTAATGCCAAATCATTTCTGGGATTTAAAAATGGAAATTTTGTTTATGATATTTCCTTCTTAGAATGAAAGGTCTGGGGAGCTCTTGGAACAGATACTCAACTTGGCTTCATATGAAGCTAGTGGTGTAGCTTGCGGTAGAGCCCTTAGCTTGTGCAAGGTCCTAGATTCCATCTCCAAGACTAAAAAAAAAACAAAAACAAAAAAACCCAAAATAAAAATCAAACAAACCACAAAGCAAAGCAAAAAAGCCCCTCTGCTTCTTTGGAAGCTATCAGATTCCTTGGAAGAGAGAAAATGTGGAAAGTATGTCTTCCAGTGGAAATACAGCAATTGATATTTTCAGTATTACTCAAAACTGGGCATTAGTAATTAATCTTTCTGATGCTTGTCTCTTCAGGTAATGACTTATTTTTCATTTTTGGCTTTGTTTACATTAAACTTGTTGGTTTATATGAAAGAATGTAAGAAATTAAGTTCTTTGTTTTTAATAGGTTTTAGGTTTGTTTTCTAAGAAATAATTTTTTCACCTATATGCATGGGTTGTATTAATACTTAGTGTTCTGATCCTTTTGTTCTTCTGACAATGTCTTATTAATATAACAGTTTTGAACTGATCCCTTTAGCACCTGTGAAACTAGAAAAACATCTGCACAGTGCTAGATCTGAAGAGGGAAGACTGTATTATGATGGTGAATGGTATATACGTGGACAAACAATATGTATTGATAAAAAAGATGAATGTCCTACGAGGTAAGGAGCTTTTATCATTTCAGTGTTACCAGTCAGTGCTAGTTTTTACATTATCATTGTTAATAAATATTTGCAGCTTCCATTGGGTATTCATAGTGCATCATTAGTTGCCTGTGGATGTTTTTCCATATTCGATTTTATGTGTACACACATGTCAGTATGTGTTTTCCTGTTCAGCTTATGAGCACCAGGACTGACAAAAGTAGCAGTATTGGAATTATTTTTCTAGTGAGTGATCCTATTGCTTAATTCTCAGTTGACAAACTGTTATGGTCCAGATATAGTGACCTGTAAACCAGGAATTCTCGAAGGATCTATTTAATCTCTGACTTTATGGGATCTGTTAGAAGAATCTGAAGAATTTGTATCTATTAAAAGAGAAGGGAGAAATGGAATGTTAACAAAAAACTAGAGTAATAGTAGTTAAAAGTGTAACTAAAATCTGGAAATTGTCTTTTAAAAGACCTAATCTCTCTAGGCTCAAATAAAGTTTGTATAGTTATGTATAACTTTTCAGTTTTATCTGGCTGTGGTCTTTTGCAAATATTTACGTGAATCATTGTTTTCATTCCTAGTAGTTCAAGATTTAATTCTCAGAGTAGTAGCCTTCTACAGTAAGGAAATATCTTTTCCTAGGTAACAGTAGTAAAATATTTGAATATACATTTTCATTTTCCAAGAACAGTGGTTTTAATTGGATTGTAATTTCATTTAAAAAATCTTAAGGATTCCAGGTATATAGTATAGAACTTTTTTCACAGAAGCTCACTTGAGATGGTTACTAAGTTATGTATAATACTCAAGGATACTTTTCTTTATCGTAATCTTTTACTACTAGCTAGCATTAAAATGGTTAAAAAGATGACAACATAAAAGAGGGTAAAACACATTTGTTTTATAAAAATTTCTATGTGAAGATTGGTAGTATTAGAAAAATCCATGCAAGTGCTGCATCAAAGATTCCCTTTGGTCAAGGCTGGTAAGCGTGGGGTATGGTTATACCATATCAGTTAATGGTGTAGTTCCACTCTAGCTTTTATGAGGGTGAAATGGTGAAGGTGTAGGAATGAAATGCATTTAGTGTAGCCATGTGTCCCTGAGCAAGGGGAATATCTTCCGAGAAATTCAGCATTAGGCATTTTGCCGTTGTACAAACACCGTGCACAAACTGGGATAAAATACAGCTCCGTCCCTTGCTGTGCCTTCTTGACGTACTTAGGGTATAAAGCTGCTGCCATGTTTCATGGCATGCTATTTTATTGTAAACCTTTTTTTTTTCCCTCATAAGTAGGTGTATACCCTAAAATTATGGCACAAATATAAAACAGTAAATATTTAAGCCAGTAACGAAGTCATGTATTATCACTGTCAAGTCTCACGTACTGTCCCTATTTTATGTGGTGTACTTTTTATCCACTGGCAGTGTAGTAGGTTCTTGTGCACCAGCATCACCACAAACATGTGAGTGATGTACTGTGCTACATCCTGATAGATACAACCACTGGGGGATGGGCCTTTTCAGCTCCCTTATTATCTAATGGACCCACTGTTGAATATGAGACGTGATGGGAAAAGATGGTGAATTCTTAATTAAAAAAAAACACTTGTGTAAAAGACACCTTGGTATTAATCCCCCCGAATGCTCTCCCTCACCAAGAGAACATATCTCATCCTTGCCACTTTCTGAAGCAGCTCTAGAAGTCCTTTTTCGTGAGTTTCTTAAGTTGTGCTGTTATAGTTCCCTTGATATACTGAATTGATTCAAACATTTGTCTTTCTTGGTTGTTTTGATTTTTGGGAAGAGGCAGAGGTCACACGGTGCCAGATCCACTGAATAAGTGTGTGAGGACATACTGTCGTGTTTTCACAACGTGCCTTTCCTTCAGATGATACTTGACAGTGAAATTCACTACATTGTTGATCATATCTCATAAATGCATGAAAGAGAACTTCAGAACTGCTTCAGAAAGTGACAAGAAGCCTGAGATAACTGTTATAAGTGAGAGGGAGGGCTTTGTTTTGTTTTGTTTTGGTTTGGTTTTTTTTGAGACAGGGTCTTACTCGGTAGTTCAGGCTGGCCTTGAACTCACTGTGTAGTCCAGGCTGGCCTCAAATTCATGGCAATCCTCCTGCCTCACCCTCCTTAGCACTGGAATTACAGGTGTGCACAGCCATGCCCAGTTTGAGGGGGAGTTTTTTGAAGGAGGGTGATACCAATGTGTCTTTTATTGTATAATTCTTTTTTAAATTTCAGCATTAGCAGTGTATTTGATCACTCACTATGTGGTCTCTTATGAACTGAATGTCTTTTGCAGCATATGAGTAGATCTAATAGAAAGTCAGCCTTCCTTCCTTCCTATTCATGTTCCTTTCTCCTTTCACCCTCGAATCCCTCTTCCCTTTCACCCTCTTCGTCTTCCCCTTCTGCTTCTGCTACCATCCTGTGATCTTCAATAAACGTAGCTACTTACTACATAAAAGAAAATTGATTTTACTAACTCTGTTAAAGAAGAATATTACTATTAAGTGTTACTAAATGTTATAAATTCTTGACCTGCTTATAATGCAGCCATCTGATAAAAGACAATTGTACACCTGAATCTATTGTCCAGTGGTTTGGTTTTATAACTAGTAATCTAAAAGGAGGAGGCATATTGTAACTCATTCATTCTTTCTCTTCTTCCCCTTTTTAGTGCTGTAATTACAACAATTAACCATGATGAAGTTTGGTTTAAGAGGCCTGATGGAAGCAAATCTAAGCTTTACATTTCACAGCTACAGAAAGGAAAATATTCAATTAAACATTCATAATCATGATTTAAGTGTTATCTAAATCTACCTTGTTAGTGTTACCAATTTCAGTGTGCCATGGGAGAGAAAAAAATGTATTCAGTAACTTAATATTCTCTTTGAATCATGAGAGAATGTGTATTTGTAGGTAGCAAACCTCATATTGATATGTTATTGAAAGAAACAGTAATAAAAAAGTTTAACCATAATCATTACATTAATTTGCCTCTTAGGTTTAATTACCAATAGCTATATGTGGTAAGGATTTTTTTCTAAAAGTTATTTTTTGTTTTTTGAAAATAATTATGCACATCTGTCTAATCTTTAGTGAACTATGGCTATGTTTATCTGCAATTTATTTTCCATCATAGTCACTCATCATGTTTGTAAATAAGACATAAAATGTTTCCTATAAATGGTTTGTAATAGTATATTAGTGTTCAATCAGAATTGAAATTTAAACCTATATATGTGAGTATGTATATATGATATCATCAGCTTATTTAGAACTGATGATCTTACCTTACAATCTAGTCTTACCCAAAATTAAAATATTGGGTGTGAAAGCTAAAAGGAGCACTTTTGTAGAATAGCTGTTTTTCTCCTCTTTCTTGATAGTTTGGTGGTGACCTATTTTTACAAATTGTGCTTCATGTTAATTAGTAAAATTAGTGTCAAGTGATAAGATGTTTCTACCTGTATTTCTTGTGACCCTTTAAAGGGCATGTGTTCATCCCTGTTATTTATGGTCCAGTGTGTAAGTGGTGAACAGTAACTGACAGTATTGTGGTGCTTGCTGTATGTGTCTGATCTTCCCAAACAGATTTTTAGTAAGCATTTTCCAGAGGTAAAACTAGATCCTGATTCTAATTTTATTCCTAAGGCAAAATGGACAGGGGTAATTTCCTTGAACTTATTCCCCAATTAATATTTTTATCTTGAGTGTTTTTTCACTTTAAAAGCCATTTCGTGCAATTTAGAAAGTGTTGGCCTCCCTTCCCTTAGCCATAGTGGAATGAACTTCCAAAGCCTCAGGAACAGTACAAAGCATTGAAACCCTCTATACAGCAGCACAGTGTCTGTAGGACATATTTAGAGGACAACCAAATCAAGTATTCCTGGCGATCTTGTGCACTTTAATTTCTGTTACAGTGAGACTTAAGAGGGTGAGGAAGAAGTCTGCTGACTAACTCAGTGCAGGAATGTCTGCATGATTCCGTTTGTTTTTCTTACTATTTTACCTCTGCAAACATCATCCTATGCAGACTGCTACTTTACAGTTGCCAAATTTTAAAACGTTTGACTTCTGAAATTCAACAATAGCAATTATGCAACTTTGTTCTGTTTCTAATTAACTTTAGTAACTGTACATAATGTCATAATCCAATAGTATTTGACAGTACTTATGTATACAATGTTTGATAAGCATTTTTAATAAGATTTTGTATTTTTTAATTTAGTATATAATAAAAAGATGTGTTTGAGTGTCATTTGTTGTGTCTTGAATTACTTATGCATATTTAGTTCTTATATTATTTATAAATTGTCCACTTTCAAGAAGAATTTGAGTTAGTTTACACAGATGGATATGGCATGCTAGAGTTCTTCACAAATCTTTTTGTTTCCCTAAATCACAGTCACAATCTATTGGGATATTTAGATGTTTAAGACAACTAAGTTATACTTAACTAAAAAATATATGTTGTGCTTTAATAAAAATGTACTCTGTAAGTTTTGATGTTCTGAATAGAAAAATCTTTAAAATTATGATTTAGTAGATGTACTTTTCAAAACTTGGTATTTATATACAATTTTACCATAGTATTAAGGTCAGGTAATCATATGCTTGTCTGTGATTAAAGTACTATAAAATAGTTAGTTATTGACAGTTTGCCAGTCATTTTCTGATACAAGATTTAACTTAGGAGAATTGTTAGAAACTTTGAAATATGTGGCAGCAGCTCTATATGTTTATAATAATCAGCTTCTGTGTTAGTGTCACTTGCTGTGTACTGTCACACCTCCTGGTTTTTCCTGTTCAGTCCCCTTGTTCTTTTTGTTAAATTTTTTTTGAACAGAGTAAAAACAAACAAAAAAGAATACAATCAATCAAAACAAAAAGTGAATGTGATACAGGACTTCACAGCAAGAGAATAGGAAATCAACAGTGGCTACTGTAATGCCTATTGTTATCTTCAGAGTAGCTGCCTATACCATCAGACATAATAAAATCTAACAAAACAAAATAGAATAAAATCTATTAAAACAAAGCAATCTAGGGCTTCAAAACAACATAATAGGAAATCAACAGTGGCTACTGTAATACGTTTTATCTTTGCAGTAGCTGCTCATACTATCAGATATAAGCAAAATAAAACAATAAAACCAAACAAGCAGAATAATGAAAACAGTACAGGGCTTTAAGACAAGGTAGGAAATTAACACTGGCTGCCACCTTCCCTTTTTATATGTCTCCTCCCCTTTCACTTTTACAGTATCTGTTTCCCACTAACTCCTTCAGTCTTTTAGACTAAGGAGACAACATGATGTTTCCCCATATGAGTCTGAATGTTTTACCCATGAGCATGGCCTCAAGTTGCACCTATATACCTATAAGGGTCTCAAGATCATCCTTCTTTATAGGTGGGTAGTGTTCCATTGTATAAAAATGCCACATCTTGGGCTAGGGATTTAGCTCAGCAACACAAGCACCTGCCTGGCAAGTACACGGTTATGAGTTCAACCTCCAGTACAAAAAAAAAAAAAAGCCATACCTTACCCATTCTGTGGTTGATGGACAAGCTACCTCTGCTTTTTTCTGGTTCCCTGTCACAATGAGCATTGTTTTGACTCCCCTTTGACTTTCAGTCTATGAATTGCCTTTCATGTTAAATGTGTTTTTTTGTATAAAGCATATTGATAGATCCTCCTAATCCACTCTGCCTGTATTTGTTTTTATTGATAAATTGAGGCCACCTGCATTAATGATTATGGCCAACATACACTGGCTCTTCTCTGCCTTGCTATTTTCCGGCCACTGGTTGCCTGCTTCCCCCTCCATTCCATTGCTTGCCTTGCTTGGTGATCCCCGTCTGCCTCTGTTCCTGGAACTGTGGTTATTTTCATCTCTCTAGAATATCTTTTAGTATTCTTTGTAGGGTTGGTTTGGTGGTCATGAATTCCTTCAGTTCTTTGTCATGGAAGTATCTTTTTTTCCTATTAACTTTGAAAGATAGTTTTGCAGGGTACATATATCTGGGTTTGAAGATGTTTTCTTTTGGAACTTGAAATACTTCACTGTAATCTCTTCTTGACTTGATCGTTGTGTCAAGAAGTCTGTCATGATTCTAATGGGGTTTCCTTCATAAGGTGATCTGTTTCTTTTTTCTAACAGCTTTTAATCTGTCCTTGTGCTGAATTTCTGGGATCTTGATTATTATATGTCTGGGTGTAGTTATGGCTAGTTGGAGTCCTATATGCCTCTCTATCTGTATGCCTTTTTCCATGTTTGGGAAGTTTTCTGCTATTCTGTAAATAGTCTTTTTATTTTATTTGTGTTGACCCTTGCTTTTTCACTGATACCTATAAGTCTTTTTTTTTCTTTTAATTTTACTTAAGGAGAAAAAGAAAAAAAAAAACAGAAAAAGGGTACAAGTTATACAGAATTTCAGAAGAAACAAACAGTAGGAAATCACTAGCTAACAGATTACATATTGTCATCTTAGAAATAGCTGTTCAAGTTACAAAATCAAAGCATACAAAGTAGACATTCAAACAGTGAGACTGCAAACAGTTCTGTTCAATGATCCAACAAAACTCAGTAATATGGTTATCTATCTTATACACTTAAATACACATGCAGTTATATCCTTTAGAGCACTTTCTTTTCCTCTCTTTTGTACAATGACAATGACACATTTTGGGTTTTATTACTCCCACAGTTCTTACTACTTTTTTTGAAGAGAATAAAACCAAATGTGACGTTACAAAACAGTCAGTCAAATCAAAAGGATGGACATAATACATACTGTAAAAACAAAATACAAAGTGATCTACATTGGTTACCATAATGCCTCTTGCTGTCTTAAAAAGAATTGCCTATATCATCAGTTATAATAAAATTGAACACAACAGTAAAGAACAAAACCAATAAAACCAAAATATTGCAGACATTACAGGATTTCAAAAGAAGATAATAATCAAACCAGAATGGGCGTCATAATGAATCTTACTGTTTTCAGAGTTGTTGCCTATACTCTCGAACTTGGTAGATACCTATCAGTCTTACATTACTTTTCTTTGTGTCTTGCAGCTGTTGGATTGTTCTCTCATGGTTCCTTATTTTTAAGAGATATTTCCTTTCACTTGCTAGCTACAAATGTGTCTTCAAGGTCTGAAAGTTTATCTTCAGTTTCTTTCAAGTAGTTTTACCAGCTTTCAATGGAGTTTTAAGTTTCCTAGATATCTCTTTGCATCTGTTTCATACATTCTAAATCTTCCATTAGTCATTCAAGGTTTCTCTCATTTTTCTATTCTCTTTTTTTAATCTATGTTTTGAGATATGCTCAACACTTCTTTTACTGTTTTTTTTTTATTTTTTCTTTTACCTGAGATAATATTTCTGATCTAATTTCATTTATAGCATCATGAAGTTGTTTCTTTACTTCAGTTACCATCACTTTAGAAACTTCAGCTGTGCGACTTCCAATCTCTTCCATGTTTATATCTCCTGGATTTACTCTGCATGTGTTGGAGGCCAGAGACTGCCTTTGCTTCTTCATCTTGACATTTTCCTGAGCATCTTTCGGACAGTGGGTTGTGGGGTACTTCCCGCAATGGCTATGATTTCTCCTAGACATGACTGGCTGGTTCTCCTGGCCAGTGTTGGCTACAGTTACCCAGTGGTGGCCTTTGGGTGTGCTGTTGTGGGGATGGATGCTGCTTTTCCCTGGGCTGACTGGGAGAACCAGCTTCGCCAGACCCGTGCTGCTTACCGGCAGAAGGCGTCCCCAATGGCAGCTCTCGATCCACTTGTTCTTACCATTTCCCACTTTAAAAAATGAAAGCAGGCCAGGGGTATAGCTCAGTGGCACAGTGCCTGCCTGGCAAGTGCAAGATTGTGAGTTTAGTCCCTGGTACCAAAGTAAGTAAAAATAAATAATTAAAAAGTAAAGGTGTCCTAGCCATCATTAATTCAATTTACTGAGTAATAATTTTTACCAAATATTGGCATTCTCATCCCTTATTGTTCCTTTTGACACACTGATCTTTCCATTACAGTTCCATGTAAAAGCTGTACTGGTGTGTGTGTGTGTGTGTGTGTGTGTGTGTGTATTTTTTGTACTGATGTATACATTGTCACTCAGGACTCTACTTCCAGAACCATGTACTCATTGATAATTATTTAGAAAGAATAGAGATGTTGGCTATTTCTAATATTTTGTTGTTGGATCCAGTGAATCTAGTATAATAAGGTAGAATTTTTATAAGGAAAATGGGTGTAGAAGAAATAATTAGGATTTATGTGGTCTCTAGCCAAAATGGAATGCAAGCTATTTTATTTGTTAAAGGTGAAATCTAAAATACCAGAAAGAGAATTGAAAAGCTCAAAATGGGATTAGAAAAACATGCATGTCCTGCCTGTTGTTTTTAGTAGGTGCACTACAGCGCTGTGGCTAGTACTGTTGGTGAGATCTAATGTGCAGTTCCCTCATTGCTCACCGAGGGCCACAACCTCCCTCTCAATTCTTTCTTGGGCATGTCTCTTACTGCTCTGGTCAGTTTTTGGACCAAAGTGGTCCCTGACTCATGGGCAGCTGGTGATAATAACACTTGAAATTTGAGTGACTGCTGTGTAACTAGGAGCTATGTTAATGTAAAACTGAAAGTTGTTATTTAATATTTTTTTATGTTCAAAATAAACATAAATGTCATTTTCATGTTCTAAACAAAATGAATACAAATACGGCAGTAACAACAGGCTTACTCTTTATAGATTTGCCATATATTGGGAATTTCTGCCCATGAGTCTTTCCTCAAGGAATGAGACAAGATATTGTAGCAGAAATTATATTAGCAGTGTTCTGAAACTCAATTATCTCATGTTACTAATCTTTATGAAAAGTGTGTGTGTGGTTAGCTGTTGAAAGCTATCAGTCTAGAATTGTTTCTAAAGTTGAACCTAGCATGTTCTCTTTTATGATAGGAAGATTAAGAATAAAAGTCATGCAGTAGAGAGTCCATTTCTCTTTCCTTTTCTGTTTTCCTGTGTTTAATATGTGTTCGAGGTGGGCGACCTTACCAGATTGTTATATTCTCTGAAGACAGAAGTACCATCATTCTATCCAGAAGCAGGCCACATGGTACTATTTCATCTCTGCTAGTGAAGATTACAAATTATGTTAAACTGCACAAAAAACCAGACCTTTGAGCAAAGGCTAAATGATCTTCTTTACAGGGATATTGAAAGAAATATATTTCATTTATTATT